GAAGAGTAAGAGTGAGAAAAACTCCTGGGTTGAAATAAGAACAGTTTAATAATTGAAATAAAATAAAGTAAAATAGTAGTAGGAGTAATAACAATATTATAATAATAGTAATAATAACATACAAAGTGATGCGCAACGCAATTGCTCACCACCTGCCGACCAATACCCAGCCCGTCCCGAGCAGCAATCACTGCCCCACAGCCAACTCCCCGCAGCTTATATACTGAGCATGACATCATATGGTATGGAATAGCCCTTCGGCCAGTTTGGATCATCTGTCTTGGCTGTGCCCCCTCCCAGCTTCTTGTGCACCTGGCAGAGCATGGGAAGCTGAAAAGTCCTTGAGTAGCATAAGCAGTACTTAGCAACAACTGAAAACATCAGCGTGTTATCAACATTCTTCTCCTACTCAATCCAAAACACAGCACTATGCCAGCTACTAGGAAGAAAATTAACTCTATCCCAGCTGAAACCAGGACACTGCACCACGCCAGTTGTACAGTTTAGAAGGTACTTCTAAGTACTCTAAAAAAACATGCAATTTTCAGGCCTTCCCTCTTAAATCAGACCACAATGCTCACAAAGGTGGTGAAAAGAGTTTGCAAGGTCACCATGAATACCAGACCTGCTCATCAGAAGATTTTGAAGAGATATAAGGGAAACCCTGGCTGGATTGCTGCCAACTGTACTGCTTGAGGGATGAGGCTGGTGGGCTGTGGTGAGAGCACTGCCAGAGGGAATATAATCAGGCATTAAGTTCTGTGTAATGCAGCTTCAAGCATCTGAAGTTATTTGCTCCTTTCCTACAGGATTCATGATTGAGGCTCTTGGAGACAGAGAGTGGTTTGACTCTAAAGCAGATTATTGCTTCGTATGTCTTTTTCTAATAAAAAATTTAAATCATTTATATAAAAAAAGGTGTTCTAAAAATATTCATTGTGAAAAACAACATTTATAGGACAGCACAGGAAGAGAAAGTAGTAATAATAATAATAATGATAAAACAATATACAAGTGATGCACAATGTAATTGTTCACCACCCACTGACCAATGCCCAGCCAGTCCCCAAGCAGCGATTGCTGCCCCCCATTCTTTGTCCTTCCCCTACCTCTTACCAACAGACCAAAATCTATCATTTATAAACAGTCTTCATGAAACAAACATACGCCATTAATGATCAACAGGAAAACAATAATTTTCTATACATAAAATACTGTACAGTACAACAGATCATGGCAGGGATTTGTTATAAGAGTGCTTAGCAAGATAAATCATGTCTCCAAACACCAGTAAAATCTCAGCAGCAGTCACTAACCCACCTATCAAGCACCTGTGAGGACAAGTTCAGCCCATTTTGTAAAAAGTAAACTGTTCTTTGTGTAACCTACATTAGTCATTCAGGGAAAAATAATCCTCATATTTCATAGTATAGTTGAATAAGAAAAAATCCATTTGATACAATTTTTTTATTTTCTCAATTTGTTCTGAGGTTAGTTGTCTGAGATACTCCAAGGTGATATCACCATTAGTTCGTTTCTCTGAGCCATACCTCTTCAAGCTGGGGTAGTGCAGGCTCTCTGGTGCTCCAATGACCTTCAGAACATGCTCAGAATCTAACCCAAGAGTTTCATACTTACCCAGAATATCATAGGGAATGTTGCAAGGATCACAGAGCAGAAACATTGGTTTCCAGTGATTGTCAAGACTATTTGGTGGGTTCGCTGTAATGAAGCTGACAAACTCCTGGAAACTTACTTTTTCAGAAGAATTTTTGTTTTTCCTGAACATTGCCCTAATCTCATTAGCAATAGTGATACTGTACAATGGCTCAGAGTGCAGAAGTTTGTCTCTGTAAGCTGAAACCAGCCGTTCCAAGGGATGCCTGGTGAACATCACTTTGGTGTAATTGTTCAGAAAGTCCTTTTGTATGGCAGGAGGGTAAGCCACCACCTTTTTGATCACCGAGGTTTGATGGATGTGGTCATGCTCAATTTCAGAAGCCTCTGCCTTCATGTCTGCTTGGAGAATAAAAATAGTTCTCTTCCAGTTGGAGCAGCCTACCTTGGGCACCTCACAGTAGATAAATCTATGTTTGTGCTCCACAAAGAGCTGGCTTGCAACATGAGAATTCAATTTGCTGCTTAATTTAACAAGATTTTGCTTCTGGCAGACTGAAGCCAGTGTGCTTTTGCGATCATTTTGAATTGCCAGCCAATCTTCACTGGCATCAGGAAAAGTACCTGGAACTAAGGAAGAAATTTAAACTATTAGTGTGAAATAGACTTACATAAGTCTCTTTGTCTGTGACAACCATAGCACTCAGTCTAGCTCCCTGCATACAAAAACTAATGAAGATGCTAAAATAAATTTGTTTGCTGTCACCAGACTCCTCTATGGCAAACATGCGATAAACTATTCTGCTTAGTGAAAAGTTTGTTAAAATGAAAACTTTCAACATGTTAGCAGTATTTCTTTAAGCAAGATGGATTTTCTAATATTTCTTATTTCAACCGATTTTTGTAGTGCTCTTCCTCTCATACGTTGCTGAGATAGCTATCACAGTGACAGGGCCTTGAATATTTTCCTAGTGTTGTTTACCACTTAGGCTCCATAGTTACTTTCTAACACATTTGGGAAAGGTGTCCCTGGTTCTAGAAAACATTAAGTCTTTCTGTTGGTAAATTCTTTACTCACCTGTTAGGTTTTTTTGTCTCTTATAGAAAAACCCCAAAAGAAATATCCCAAAAAACAAGTTTGGGAGAAGGAAAATTAACACCTTCTGGTTCATATTATTTTCACAGGAAGGAGGATGACGTGATCTCCAAAGTGGAAATCTGCCTTTCTGTCAACAAGGAAAGACAATACAAGTTAGATTTGACATAATATATGACATAATAAAGATAACACGGTATTCTCTTACAGAATTTACAATAGCAGAAAGACCTTTCAAGCCCTATAAAAACAGGTTTTGCTAATAAGTAAAAATTCTCCTATGAAAAACGATGACCACAATTATACAGTTAAACCAGACAAATAATATGACCATTTTGAAGTATTACAAAATTCCCCCCTTTCTCAGAGCAATGAACTATGTATGAGCAAATACTCCTCTCCTCTCCTCTCCTCTCCTCTCCTCTCCTCTCCTCATTTAAAGCTGGTGTTCCTGCCAAGCAAACTCATCTATCCCTTGTGTAACAATAACCTCATTTAGGATTATAGAGATGTATTCTTTTTAAATAATCTTACTTGTTGGAGTCTGGGAGTACAGAGTTTTCTGTAACCTGCAACAGGCCTATCCACAACCCTATGATGCATTCAGGATGAAATTCTTCCCATCTCTTGCCCTGAAGCTTTCCACTTCGTACAAACAAATCAATATTCAGTGCAGAAGAAACTCTTCCACATGCCAGCAGAGAAACCTAACTACTAACAATAGATTAGTTCTCCCTTTTTCTCTCTCCCAAAGACACCGCAATGTATATATGTTTGCTGCCATTGCTGTGGCCCCAAAATGGTTCACTATGTCAGGAAGCATACAGAAGCAGCAGAGGAAACAACAGAAAAGGAGATGTTCCATGTTCACAGATAAAAGGAGAGAAGGCCAATGCAGTCCAACAATCAACGTATTCCCTCTCCTGTGCTCACTCACTAAGTCCTCTGTGAAATCTTATCGTGTTGCCCCCCCATGTTGCCCTGTGTTAGAAAGGTCTTCATCAGCATGCTTTTCACTTTTTATTTGAAGTAGCAAAATTAAGTGCAAAACCATAACTACCGGCAAACATGACATTCTATTTCTGTCCCACAAAGTCTGCACCATCAAAAAAGTCAAGCAACATTGTCTTCCTTTTCTGCTTTTTGATTTTTCACCCTGAACCTGCTCGCAATAAAAACAACTTTGCCTGGATTTCTTGAGGATGTAACTTCAAATTTGTTTTGTTTTGTTTTTACAAAGATACAAGAGGACCACTCTGGAAGTTTTGTGATGACCCCCACCCACCCTGTGTGGATGTACATAAACCCCAGCTGCCATAATGGAAAAGGGTTTCCTGTGTGTTCTGAGACAGCAGTAGGGGCAGCACTGGTTAAATTGCTGAAAATGTACTTGTACACAAGGCTTCTTCCTTTCAGAGCTGATGTGATTATTATATCACACAACTTTACCAGAATATCCAAACTCATACATTTAACAGCATTACTACTTATTAAATCTCTCTTAGTGTAGGCATGACCTGAGAAATGGAGAGGGATGACTGTTGACTATCTCTGACCCATAAACATCATTACGAACAAATCTGCAGTCACATATGTTAACAATTGACTTGTGTTTACATTAAACTGTTACAATACTCATTCAAGTGAATGCAGTGTTTTTACACACGATGGCATTTAGCCAATATTTTTGCATTGTCTTGGCTGCATAAAACCATTATAAAGGCTACAAGAAAAAATATGGGTTGATCTTTGGCCTTTAACCTTTTCTTCATTGCATGTCAATTCTCCTGTGCATGTCAATTCACTGTGCCATCTATTGACTTCTAATGCACCAAAGGCTGTTTTCAAGGCCAGCTGGTCAGTCAGATTGTTCATTGATCTTATGAGGTCCAACATTGAGTGATCTCTTTTTATTCTTTCACAGAAGTGGTTTGAAGACACAATTTCACACTGTGTAGAAATTAAAATAAATATGACACTAAATAATTCTGTACAGGGACTCCTTGTTAGAGTATGCTTAGGAGAAAGAGGTTCGGCTTCATTTACCTTCAAAGCTGTCATCTCAGGGTAGTTATTGTTATCATACCTGTCTCAGGAATCAGAAAATGAATGTCCTGGTTTTGGCTGGGATAGAGGTAATTTTTTTGTGTTCCTAGTAGCTGGTATAGTGCTGTGTTTTGGATTTAGGATGAGAATAATGTTGATAACACACTGATGTTTTAGTTGTTGCTAGAGTAGTGCTTACACTAGTCAAGGACTTTTCAGCTTCTCATGCCCTGCCAGCAAGAAGCTGGGAGGGGGCACAGCCAGGACAGCTGACCCAAACTGCCCAAAGGCATATTCCATACCATATGATGTCATGGTCAGTATATAAACTGGGGGGAGTTGGCCGGGGGGCAGTGACCGATGCTCGGGAATTGGCTGGGCATGGGTTGGCAGGTGGTGAGCAATTGCATTTTGCATCACTTGCTTTGTATATACTTTTATCATTATTATTATTATTATTAGTAGTAGTAGTAGTAGTATCATCATCATCCTTTCCTTTTCTGTCCTATTTAACTGTCTTTATCTCAACCCACAAATTTTACTTTTTTTTTCCCCCCTCAATTCTCTCACCCATCCCACTGAGGGGGGATGAGCAAACAACTGTGTCATGTTTAGCTGCCTGCCGGGTTAAACCACAAAAATGAATTAATTTACCCTATTTAGATACTTGTATCATATATATTTGTTAATTAAATTACTAGTACAGAATATAAGGTCTGCCATAAGACACATTTCACATTGAAACATGTCAACGAGTCATGAGAGGGAAATAGAAGAGACATGCCTCCTTGGGGGAAAGAAGATGTTTATGAGCTAGTCAAACACAGGAGACAACTCCTCTTCTAAGACGTTTGCATATTTGTGGAAGCAAAAGAATAATTTTTTTTAGTTCAGGAGAATGGTCAGGCCATAAGGAGGGATAGAATGAGCTCCAAGGTGACAGATGAAATCTGTCTGGACCCCTTAGAAAACTTCAAAGTGCAGACTGGCTGTAAGAGCTAAAACCGTGTGAGGTCAACACGACAATTCAGAGAAGTACCTGAGGGTGAAGTCCGAAGGCTTCTTCTGAAGATGTTTTCTGATCGTAGACCCCAATATGGAGTTCTGTGTAATGCAAGGTCTCCGATGATGGAAATCACCTAAGAGCAATCTGAGGAATAGGAGGAAAGAAAATTCTGAGAGCCATTTTGCCAGAAGAGGGACAAGTGACCTGGAAATGAAAAAGGGGGAAAAAAATCCAAAACAAAACCAGCTTTGTGATGCATTCAGTGTCAGTAGATCAGATGAACTTTTTCTTCTATTCTTTCAGTTATGTCTTTTCCAGATGCTTGTAATTGTGTTGTCTATTTTAGATGTAATGAATTCATACTCCTATTTGCATTTTACTTCATCCTGCCTTGAATTAAGTGTCATTTGAGGTGACTGGGTAACTACAAGGCATTCCTCAGTCAAGGTGTGGTGAATCTATTAATACAACAACTTCATAAAAAATAGTCTAGTTCTGTTGTAACCAAAGGGCAGCAGAATGGGTTCCCACAGGCAAGGTAGAAAGACAGTACCATAGGACTCAAAGTAAGACAGGAGTGTCTTCTAGTGAAAAAGAACACAGCAAGGAGTCGGAGATCTAAATGTCTCTTTGGAGCTAACATATCCCCAAAGAGAGGAGAAAATACTAAAAACTAAATATAGGGCATTAATCTGCATTGTTCTTGTTACACATAGTTGTGGGGGGTTTGTGGATTTTTTTCTTTGTTTTTTATTTTTATTGAAGCATAAAATCTTCTAGATAACAGCTTTACACTGCACTGTTGGTTTTTGCTTGTTCTTCAGATCACATCATTATAGATCAACCATATATAGCTTGGCTTAATATTTTCAACTTGGCATGTCTTACTGGATTCTGCAGATTTCATCAGAAATCATTTTATGACCCTTTCTTGGACATTACTAAACAGTAAACCAGGCAGTAAGAGGAATGATCCTCATAGAACCCTTTCCTGCAGAACCCTTTCAGAAACATTTCTATCAGGTGGTGAGATTTTTTGAAGCCTGTCAGTTAACTAGCGTTTAATTCCTTCAATGTGTGTCCAGCTGATTTGATGGCTTTCTAGATTCTTAGCCAAAACACGCTGCAGTATCAAGTTGAATGATTTATACAATTCTAAATCTACTATATCAATGTTATTACCTTAATCAACCAAATCCAAACAAATATAGTAAGTCAGTTTGGTGAGATCCATTCCCTATAACATAAAACAATGTTTCTATGAGAGAGCAACCAGAGCAATTGCTCAAGCCAAGAGTGGTAGCAAATGGAGGACAGATTATTGGAGAAAGCAATGCCAATCATCTCATGTGCATGTGAGATGGGAAAAAGGCCTGAAGCCCTCATAAAATGAGAAATATTTGTTGAATTCCAACTTTCTTTGCATTACTTATAATTCTACCATCTCCTCCTACTAATGCATTGTTAAGACTCTTTTCTTCCCGATATACACACTTCTCATAACAAAACCAAAAAAAGTTGTATCACATTGTTCATATCTTTGTTCTCAAGTTTGCTGACAATAACATGTTCTTTCCATCCTTCTGTTTCCTTCAAGAAATTTATGACAATTTTCTGCTTTTAATTACTTTCAACATCCCCCTTTTCTATATGCTATACTGGGTATGGAGGAGTGGCTGGCAACCTACTTGCACATCCCCTGTATGTCAGGCTAGATCATTTGACCCAGTAGAGCTCTCTGTCTCAGTGATGAGATTGTACTTTTCCAGGGCACTCACAAAATTTTCATATGCCTGAGTTATCGGATATTTTTGTTGTTATTGTTAAATTGCTTTCTCTTGGTTCATTTGTCTGTAACATTGTCATTGTCAGCTGAGGGAACTGGGATTGTTTAGTCTGGAGAAGAGGAGGCTGAGGGAACACTTTATCGCTCTATACAACTACCTGAAAGAAGGTTGTAGCAAGGTGGTTGTTGGTCTCTTCTCCCAAGCACTTGATGATAGGACGAGAGGAAATGACTTCAAGTTGTATGAGGGGAGGTTTAGATTGGATATTAGGAAACATTTCTTCACAGAAAGAGTAGTCAAACATTGGAACAGGCTGCCCAGAGAGGTGGTGGAGTCACCATCCCTGGAGGTGCTCAGAAAACATGTACACGTGGGACATGGTTTAGTAGGCATGGTGGTGTTGGGTTGATGATTAGACTGGTGATCTTAGAGGTCCTTTCCAATCTAAATGATTCCTAGCTTTACTTTCATTAAAAATAATGCAGCCACCAAGCCAGGAAACATGAAATTGCTACTCTACACTTAATTGGTTTAGTGGTGGACTTGGTAGGGTTAGGTTAATGGTTGGACTGGATGATCTTAAAGGTCTTTTCCAACCTAAACGATTCTATGATTCTGCAACCATCCCATATGTCTGTTAGTGGTATAGACTTTAACTGTTCATACCATATGTAGCTACATCAGAACCACTCAACACTTATCCAACCACCAACTTCAGTTTTGTAATGAGTTCCTTTTGCCCCGACCAAAACAAGGTCTGATATAGAATCTTTAGTACTCTTTCAGTTAGGAAATATTTAGACAGTCCAAAGATGTTTTAATGATAAACTCATGTGAATACATGACCTAGCACATCACACTCAGATTGAAGTTCTCCCTCCTGCCCTGCAGGTTTATCCCTAGCACAGGCACTGAAGGAGTAGATTGCATTGCCTTTAACAGGTATCACTGGTACATCACTCTGTCTTCGAACTGCTGAAATAATGATTCATAATACAGCATTCCCTAATCCTTCTTCTGGAACTGCTGAAC